GGGGGGGGGGGGGGGGGGGGGGGGGGGGGGGGGGGGAGGGGGCGACCATCACCCTCACATGTGTATGAGACCGATGATTACTTCCTTGAGGTCCCATGTGGTGACCTTGCCAAACTCGTCCCCCGTGTAGACGGTGTAGGACAGCATCTCCGTGTTCCAAAACACCCGCCGTTGCCGCTGCTTCTGGCTATCCCCGCGACTCTGAGCGATCGAGGGGGGATGTCTTTGCGACACGCACACAAACCGGGCACGGCACACATAGTACACGTCGTTATCAAACCTATCGAGTGAGACTTAGGAAACAAGAGGTTTACGCGGAGAAAAACTTCGATACCTTGAGATACAGCAAGTAAATCTCTTTGCAATCGTGGTCAACGCGTCAACATAGTAACTGTAGCAGAGTAAAATGTTTCCAACATGGATAAACTGTTTGTATGACAAGAGCTGATGGGATGCGATACAGAAATTCGACCAACACGCCGGACGAAGGAAACTTGCTGTTTGCCCATTTGGACGCAGACACATACGGACTTTTCCCCGCGAAGAATCTCGCGTTTCGCCTATTGTTTGCGCTTGTGTACACTTCGTGCCACTGCATGTTTCACGGCTCTTCCTCTGCAAACACTACCCAAGCAAGTTAATAATTGCACAGAGAAAGTATCGCCCCCCGTCTTACGCTATCACACCGTTAGCGTGTGTTTGTCCTGGCTGTAGACGACTCGCCCTACCGGTCTGTACTTCGCGGTACACAAACGCAACTGACCTTCGCCGTTCCCCCCGGTATTTTCGGAGTGTTGCGGCGAGGCGTTCCTGAAATGAGCGATCGCTGGAACCACTCCCGCCGGAAGGATTGGAGCTCGCCGCGGAAGCATCCCACCTGGAATGAAATCAAGGCGTTAGACGTTTATGATCATCCCTGTTAATAGATCCATTGTCGTCATCCGTTTCTACCGTAGGCTCTGTTGCTCATGTTTGCGGCCAGACCTTGGGCTCCCTTCTGGAGGTTGTTAGTATAGCTCGGTGCAAGGGTATCAATTCCTCCCCTTGACCCCCCCCTACCGCTCGTGTGTGGCGCTTAGCTTTTACTCATTTTCACCCTTGGTTTTTGAGGGTGAGCACGGTTCAGAACTGAATGATCCTTCCACCGGTTAAGGTATGCACATGTATGTATGCGCGTTTTGCCTGTCGCTGGCCGTAGGTCGACAGAGTGCATCAACCTTAGACAACGAGACTTGCTGACTTGCCACCGTTTTTCTTGACGCATGTTCCATCTTGCGGCTGTCACTGAATTGCTCTTCACTGGACCACTTACTGGGTGGAAAGGCGAGAATAAAGTCCATTCGCCAAAGTGTGTGCCGCGAGAAGC